TATGCTTTCTCTATTAATTCTTTTGTTGATGTGATGACACAAAGAATGAGAATTCCATATGAATCGGGAACCATAACTCTATATATAATTTCCATATGTATTCGACTCATACTTTATTTAAATGTCCTAAGTCCAATTACTTAATTCTTTATTAGATTACTTAAATTTTAGGTTTAACTTTAAAATAACTTTCATACACAATTAATTATATATGTCGACCCCATGATAAATTAAATAATCTTCCAATAGAATTATGATTTATAAGTCTCAACCGCATCTTTATTGCCATTCCATGATGGGGACAGCCGAGCGGACAAAGAAAACGGGGAGGTGTAATGAAGCGGAGAATAAAATGATTTATTTGATTGTTTGTTTTTCCAATTGAGATGACTTTTATTTTTTATAATCTTTTAAAGAATATTTTTATTGACCTGTGAAATATCAATTTTTTTACTGTGTATTCTGAATCATTTGTCGTGCAAATACATTTATCTTTATCTTTTTTGGTATTAATTTTCATAAAACGTTTGACCAACTCAACTCAACTCAACTCGTTAGCATAACACAATAAATACATGTTGAACTCAAATCATCTTAACTCAATGGTAAACATTTTGCAAGATTGGTAAGTGAAATAACAAATAATAAGTAGTTTGTTCGATCTTTTACTCTATCCATTTTAGTACATTGCATTACATACGCGTTGAACTCAATCATCTCTATCTCTATTCGATGGCCGACATGTTTGAGTTTTCAATTTTCCCAAGATTGGTAAGTAAAAATAACTAATAAGTTGTCTGTACAAAATTTCACTCGGTTTATATCGGTGCATCACAAAATATATGTTGAACTCAATTATCTCAACTGAAGGTTGATGTCGTTGAGTTTTCAATTTTTGCAGGATTTGTCAGTGAAAATTACCAATAAGGCTATGTTTGTTATGCCAAATTTTCCTTGGAAGTTGGAAAATAAATTCTTTTTTCTTACATTTGAGTTGTTTGATTAGCGACATTTTGCCTCCCATTTGTTTTCCTTGTAGCTGCCTCACACGCTGGAATTCCTTGAATTGTGGGAATTCCATGTGGCTGCTGTGTCTTTTTTTTTTTTCTTTTTTTGGAAGTGGAAACAAATTTCATAATCAAGTGTATAAAAAAACTCATTTTCATTGACAATTTTGATACAAACGAAGGGCAAAGAACACTAAATGTTGATGGAAAAAATGATTTTTTAGGAAACACTTTTTTTTTTGTTTTTTATGGAAACAAATTTTATAATCAAGTGTGGAAAAATTATCACTTTAATGGACAATTTTAATGCAAACGAAGGCCAAATAAACACAAAATTTAAACATTTTTCCGGCGGAAAAATTATACCAATTAAGCACATTTAATTAACAATTTCCTGCAAAATAATTTTTAGAAAATCACTTTCCTTAAAATTCATTTTCTTTCCATTCATTTTTCATTATTGTAATCAAACGGACCCTAAGTTGTCTTTCCCAATTTTCACTCTATTCATTTTAGAATACAATAATAAAAACATGCTGGACTCAGTCATCTCGACTCAATGACTGACATGATCAAAATTTCAGTATTTGCAAGGTTGTTAATTGAAAATAACTAATAAATCGCGTGTCCAACTTTAACTTGTTAAAAATATTAGTAGACTATAATAAATACATCTCAAAGTTAATTATCTCAACTCACTTGCCAATATGATTTGAGTTTCAATTTTTGTAATACTATAAGTGAAAATAAATAGAAAACTTTTGTTCCAACTTTGGCTTTATTTATGTCGTTACGTCACAATAGAAGTTAGAGTCCGTTTGATTGTGAAGGTGGAAAATTGGTGGAAAGAAAGTGAATTCCAGATAATTGAATTGTCTAAAAATTGTTTTACTGGGAATTGTAATAAATTGTATTTGATTGGTATAATTTTTCACCTGAAAAATGTTGAAAATTTGGTGTCCATTTGGCTTCATTTTTTTATGGAAATTGTTCATTAAAATGATAATTTTTTCTACCATTGGGTCTAAAATTTGTTTCAATTGCCAATTTTTTTCTTTTAAAAAATACCATACCAAATACCATTCGTTTGACTTTGTTTTGTATGAAAATTGTCAATAAAAGTGATAAATTTTTTTACCATCGTGTCTAGAATTTTTTCCAATTGTCAAAAAAAAAAAATTAATTTTTTTTAAAAAACCAAGCAATTCCGTTTTGCTAAGAAAATGAATTCCCACCACTTTGGCAAGAAAGTCAATTCTTTAAAAATATGGAAAATGGGTTGATCTGACACAAGTAAGGAAAGATAATTTTTATGGCAAATTTTGTCAATCAAACAAAATGGAAAATTGGTTGATGTGACACAAGTAAAGAAAGACAATTCGATGACAAATTTTGTCAATCAAACAAGTCAAAAAGTGATAAATGAAATTCATTTTCTATTTTCCTTGAAAAATTAGATTTATCAAACACCACCTTACTTTTCGTTAAATCCAACCTTTTTTTTATATTTTTTTGGACAATTTTTTAGTTTACTTGGAATTAGCCGTTTAGGCACGAATCCGACAGCATGAATGCTCGAGTATTTTAATATAGGTAATAATTAATGAGGTGGGCCTCACTCGTAGGTTTCATTGTCACGTAATAACCCACCGCACGTATAGGATTCCGCCCACTAGTAAAAAAAATGGGCAAGGGATTACGTACAAATATTATACTTGTTCAAGAATAAAAATACAATAATATATTGTTATTTTATGAACTTTTGCTTCTTCAGGAGCAATATAATAATCCAAATAGAATAAACTCATTTGGAATAAGTGTTCAAATTACTTATTTATTTTCAATATTCTTTACTTTTCATCTCAATGAAATATGGTGGATCAATCGTATATATATTAAATAATAACTCCAAAACGCAGACATTAAAAGAAGGGTAGTTATATTCACATTTTTTAAAAAATAAATATAGCACATTTGAGTTACATAAAAAATCATTAACTTTTATTTTTCACACCTATATCACCGTCGCCTCGCCTCGCTTCGCTTTTTTTTTTTTTTTTGCACCACATTTTTATTTTTAATATTTCATTGGTCAGAAAAAACTTGTCCTTAATCAAGATTTTCGTCCAATAATATTGTTAATGCAATTTAAAATAAGGTTCAAATATTTGATCGCATTTTACATTATTATTTGTTTTGATTATTTAAAAACACAATGGGCAAATAAGTTTTTTAATCTATTTTAAAGAAAATTTTGAAGAGAAATTAGGATCAATTTATGTTAATTAGAGAATAAGAATGTAACAAAAGAAAATTTAAGACATAAATGTAATAACGTGTATGTGTTATGAACCTTTCATACAAATAAAATATAATCTAGTTATTAAAAACTATGGTGTGAATATATATATATATATGGCCCCGTTCGGTAGGGATTAAAATCCAATTAAAATTGAAATATAGCCGTTATTGGGTCCCACTCGTTTAATAAAAGTCAATAATAACGACTATTTTTTTGAATTTTAATCTAAATTTAATCCCTACCGAACGAGTCCATATATGGTAACAAAACAAATAGCAGAAGCAACACTAATCGAGGACACTCAATCAAGAGCTTCTAGATCGATTAGACACCTGCCTAACCTGCTAGATTCCCAATTTTCATATGGGGGCTTTGTGTAGCTTGAAGCATGGCTTGCTATTTTGGGGGTTCAATATTACTCTTGGAAATGTTGATACATCGACTTTTTCATTTCTCCATTTAGTCCTACTTGACTACTCACGTACTATGAGTCTATCCTTGTGATATATATAAAATAAGTAAGATATTGATTATATATTACAAATAATATAATATTATAATGAAATATTTTAATCTAGATAATATTTAAGGGGTATAGTTTTTTGTACTCGAATGCTATAATTTTGGTGTCCATTTAAATACTGTTGCCTCAAAACCGTTATTTTCCACATCCCATTTCCATACCAGCCGAGTCGAGCCGACTTCAAGAAGCTCCACTCATTCAACCGCGTTTCATGTTTGACCATTAAAAGTTCAACCGCGTTTATCTATAATATAACTAGTAACAAGCAAGTTCCCAAAATAAGCAAATGTCAAATCAAAATTATAAAAATAAATAGATAATTTCTTTTTTCTGTAAAATAATTTTTTAAAAAAAAATGATTTATGGTTAAAATTATATAAAAGAAGTTCACATATTCGAACATATTTGAAATAAAAGAAAAAAAATTGAAGCCGACGTCTCAACCTCTTGAAATTAAACTCCTCAAACTTTTAAAAATAAATGTAAATAAATCTTGATGTTTTTCATTCAAAATAATTAATAAATTTACGTAAATATTTGAATACAATGGACCACAATTTTCTCAGTCACGGCAAAATATCTCGACCCTACCTTCTCTCGTTCCATGGGAAATGGATGGGGGCAAGGAAGATCGTTTCCACACATAATTTTTTTGTTTTGTTGTTTTTATTTATTTTTTATTTTTTTGTGTTTTTGAATTAAAATTGTATTTATAAAAGAAAAAAAAAAAAAGTAAATTGAAAAACCTAAGAAAAGGGATGTTTTAATCCGAAATAGAGGTAAAACTTAGGTTACTACTTTTTCAGCTTTTAAACTTGGCCTGTTAGCCATAAAAGACTCGGAACCTGTACCCCAACCCCTACCCCCCAACCAAGAGTTCATCTCTAAATCCAGTTAAGCAAATCTCTCTCTCCACCTTCACGGCCGCCGCGCCACCATAATTCTTCAATCCCACCTTCACCTTCACAACAGCCCAATCCAACTCTCTCTCTCTCTCTCTCTATTGGAGAAGAAGGAAGCTTGGAATTTCTTCCAGTCACTGGTCAAGTCTTCTTCATCTAATTTAGAACAGCTTCGTTGACTTCACCCCTCCAGTTCTCCAAAATTACGGATTTTTCCTTCTGAATTTTGCATTTTTGTTGAGATCTCTGATTTTTACATCATCACAATGGAGGACGATAAAGCAGCATTATCACAGAAACTAATCGAAGCAGTTAACGAAATTTCGGCAATTTCTGATTACAGAAGCACCGTGAAGAAGCAGTATACAAATCTAGCTCGGAGGTTGAAGCTGTTGATTCCAATGTTTGAAGAAATTCGAGATACCAAAGACCCGTTGCCCGATGAATCCATTAAATCTTTATCTTCTTTGGTAAACGCGCTTGAATCGACCAAAGAGTTGCTTCAATTTGGTAGTGAAGGCAGCAAGATTTATCTGGTGGGTATAATGAAATTTTGCTTTACTCTTTCGTTTTTATTTTCACGTAATGTTTAATGGTCTTTCATTAAATTTTTCTTTTTCAAATAAAAGGTACTAAGGTGTCTCTCTTTTCTGGATTAAGGAAATATTAAAATTTGAGGGAGTTAGATTTCATTTCTCGATATGTTTTAAAATAAAATGAAGGCTTTGAAACTGCCAAATCTTGCCTGTGGATTTGGTTTATGGATTATTGTATTTGATTTGTTTCAGGATGTATTTTATACTGGAGCACATAGAATTCACAAGATTCTCTAGGATTAGGATCGTCCTTGCATAGAATAGTTTTTCGAAGTCGTCATTACCATTACTCAAGCATATTCCCAATCTTACATGGATTAGGGAAATTTTGAATGGGATTGGTTTGTGTTTACATGAAATTGTTTACATTTACATGAGATCATGTATACTGTGTTAGAAGAAAAGGAAGGAACAAAGTAATGAAGTGACTTCATGCAAGATTCTCTAGTATCGGGTATTGTTCTTGCATAGATCGGTTTCCAAAAGTCGTACATATGAGATGGTTTGCATTAACATGAGATTCTGTATACCGTGTTAGAAGAAAAAGAAGGAAAACTAATAAGGTGAGTTCATGCAAGATTCGCTAGTACGGGTGTTGTCCTTGCGTAAAATAGTTTCAAAGTTGTCGTTATTTGTTAAGATTTTGGAATTTTTGAGCCAGTTCCAAATTTTTGTGATGCTCGAGAACTAATAATTGACCCAAGAATCCAAAAGCACTTCACATGATGGATAGAGCAATGGGTCTCCTCTTGCAATTGAGAGTGACAAATAGGCGAAAATCAGTACACTTTCGGTATGGCGGTAAGCAAAACAGTATGCAATCAATAAATACGAGCAAGTTCGCTCATCGGGGCAAATGAGCACAAGTAGCAACAATAATTGCCAGCTCTTTAGTGTCTGTGGTAAGCTAGACTTAGCATTCTTCACAATATTCCCCAAGGTTCTAGAGAATTCCGCTGGCCTCTTTGAGGATCCTCTAATCGTGCATGATGCTAGACCGTATTGTCTGCCAGCCTTAGTGCCTGGTTGTGTCCATCATCTGGCCGTTCTTGCTTCTGCCTTAGTCTTCAGCTACGTCCCCACAGCCTCCCTACGTCTGCCTGTCTGCAGGTGGTAATGCTGCACTCCTCCTTTCTGTCCTATGCCTTTGGCCTCTTGCCTTGGCCCTGCAGCTCTTAGCATTCGGTTTTCTCGTCACCCAGCCTTCAGCATCTTGCCTCACTCACTTCTCACGCATACTTGGGTGCAAGTTTCAGATGCCCTTGCAGGAATTCAAGTGTCACGGCTGGGGTGTGACGAAGAGCTCTTAATTTATTGTTCAAGATCAAAAAAGATCATGAGAATATGACACTTTGAAGTGGACATATGGATTCACGTGAATAAAAGCAATTTGAGTGTTTTTCCCTAATTCTGTGTGACTCTTTTTTCTTCTTCTTCTTTTTTCATTGTGGAAATTTCTTATTCAAGTGTTCATGATGAGGTATTCATCGACCAGCCTTCAGGAAAAAGAACTTCGTCCTACGAACTTTCTAGGCTTGTATCTAAAAGTGATTGTCCAAGCCCTCATGTAGGTGACCCTAGAACCTCGTTGATAACTTATTCCAAGACCTGAAAAAAGAAATCGGCCGGTGTTCTTCTGTGAACCTACTGTGCAAATCCCCCATATATAAAAATTTGTGTTTAGGTTGTAATTTTAAATTTATATGAGATTTGTTTCTCGTTATATAAGACCTCTCTTTTGGCACGGCATGCATGTTGAACATTGAATTATTTACTTTTTGTTTGTTTATGAAATCATTTATGGTTGGGTACATGTTTTATTCACTTTTGCACTGGCCCACATACCTGATTAATGTAAACACCCTTGGTTTTGACTTTTGATGACCATAAAGGAAGAAGTTGATCATACGCAATTAAGACCCCATCTTAATGGACATCCAATCTCCTCACCATTGAAGTGTCTTTTAGATTGTTTCTGCTGTAATTAATTGCTCATGGCAAATGTTAAATTATAACTTTGTTTTCTTGCGAATATCAGTCTTCTGTCCTATATTCATCTTACCCAGTAATGAAGAACTAAAATATCACCTGCAGGTCTTGGAGAGAGAACAAGTTGTGAAAAAATTTCAAGAGGTGACAGCTCAATTGGAACAAGCTTTGAGTGGAGTTTCTTTCGAAAAACTTGACATATCTGATGAAATTAAAGAACAGGTATTTAGTTCTTGAAATGGTGAACTTGCATTGCCATGAAGGCTGGATATTTTAGCAGAGTACTTTATTACTATAACTATTCTATTAATCTGTTCAGTTTGCAGTGCATGAATATGAGATGATTTCTTGGGTGGATTTGTATGTCTGGACGTGCATGCTTACCATTTTGGAAGTTGTATTAACTTTTATAAATGACTCTGTATCTTTAATTTATCATGTTTCCAGATTGAGCTCGTTCTAGCTCAGTTCAAAAGAGCCAAGGGAAGGGTCGACTCACCCGATGTTGAGGTGTATGAGGATCTCTTGTCCCTATACAGCAAGAATAATGATGCTGCTGGAGATACGGATGTCTTAAGGAGATTGGTTGACAAGTTACAGCTTGGTGGAATAGCGGACTTAACTCAAGAATCACTAGCTTTGCATGAGATGGTGGCTGCCACTGGTGGGGACCCAGAGGAGAGCATAGAGAAGATGTCAATGCTACTAAAGAAAATTAAGGATTTTGTTCTGACAGAGAATCCTAACATCGATTCTTCTTTAGTGGAAAAGTCGATTCCTGCAAGTAGCAATGGAATAGTATCCTCAGAGGGAATTCAGAAGAGCCCTGTCATACCAGATGATTTCCGCTGTCCTATATCATTAGAGCTGATGAAGGATCCTGTCATAGTCTCAACGGGACAGGTATGGCATTTGGATTTTTGCCTTTCGATTAATTAAACCAGTTGCACTACCCTCTCTATTGTTCTTTGACATTCTTAATTAATGCTTTTGTTTCTTCTCATTCATTTTTCTTTGAAATGATTCATTAATTATCCAACTTAGTTTTCTTTATGAGTTGGTTTCAAAGATTGAACTCGGTGCTTCGAACATACTACCTCAAACACCTTGTTCTAGAATGAATTAAAATTTGAATAGATAAAGCTTGTATTTTATTTTACACCTTGACATGTTCAACTTCATGTTTCATGTTGCCGCTTTTAGTAACTGATGAGAGAACGTACTTTTGAACTCCATGGAGGAAGGGGTTGGAGAATTTTGTTGAAATTTCTCCTGATTGCTACTTGTAGTTAACTAATTAAAATATTATATCTGCTGTAGACATATGAAAGATCATGCATAGAGAAATGGTTGAAAGCAGGGCATGACACTTGTCCAAAGACACAACAAGCCCTTACTAGCACTGCTCTTACTCCAAATTATGTACTTCGTAGCCTTATAGCGCAGTGGTGTGAGGCAAATGGAATTGAACCCCCGAAACGACCAGGCTGTCAACCAAGTAAGACCACATCTGCATTCTCCCCTGCTGAGCGTACAAACATAGAAGCTCTCCTCCATAAGCTTACGGCTGGAAACCCAGAAGACCAGCGTTCTGCAGCAGGTGAAATTCGCCTTCTTGCCAAGCGGAATGCTGACAATCGTGTGGCAATTGCTGAAGCTGGTGCCATTCCTTTGCTCGTCCAACTTTTATCAACACCTGATTCCCGCACCCAAGAGCATGTTGTTACTGCACTTCTTAACCTTTCCATATGCGAAGATAACAAGGGAAGTATTGTATCTTCTGGTGCTGTGCCTGGTATAGTTCATGCGCTCAAAAAGGGTAGCATGGAAGCACGGGAAAATGCGGCAGCAACGCTATTTAGCCTCTCAGTAATAGATCAAAATAAGGTTACAATTGGTGCTTCGGGAGCAATTCCACCACTCGTGACACTTCTAAGTGAAGGTACACAAAGGGGGAAGAAAGATGCTGCAACGGCTCTCTTCAACTTGTGCATATATCAAGGTAACAAGGGAAAGACCATTAGGGCAGGAGTCATCCCTACTCTTATGCGGCTGCTTACTGAACCTCAAGGTGGTATGGTGGATGAAGCTCTTGCTATACTGGCAATATTGGCTAGTCATCCGGAAGGGAAGGCAGCTATTGGAGCTGCAGAGGCAGTACCTGTTCTAGTCGATGTCATCAGGAATGGATCCCCGAGGAACAAAGAAAACGCAGCTGCTGTTTTGGTGCATCTCTGTTCCGGAGACCAACAATACCTTGTCGAGTCTCAGAAGCTAGGAGTAATGGATCCGCTACATGATTTGGCAGCAAACGGCACGGAAAGGGGCAAGCGCAAGGCTGCCCAATTGCTTGAGCGGATGAACAGATTTGTTGAAACACAAAAGCAGGCACAGTCGCAGGCACAGTCCCAGGAGCAAGCTGACACTCAGGTTCAAACTCAAACTCAGGATCAAATGTCACAGCCGCCCTCATCGACTGATGCTGTCAATACTTGAGTGTTCATGTTCCTTTACCGTTTCTTTTGTTGGATTTGTTTATTTTCAATTTTTTTTTTTCGAGTATTCAAGGGGATATAGCTTGGTTAGAAGGGACGGTGGAAGATCACCAATCCCATCCATAAAGTTATTCATATGTTTTGTTTCGTTGAGAAATATACTTGGTGGGAAAGAATTACTTAGAAGAAAGGCCAAGCTATATAGAACATGACAAAGAAGGTTGATTGTACCTTTGTAATTTATACATGTTTAAACATCGTGAAGTTTTCATTGTAGAAGTTGCGGTGTCAAACGGGGCTAACATGGCTCGCCCATGCTTGCCCGATAAAACTGGCACGTGAATTGGTCCATAACTCGAGTTGGCTCGTCCATGGGAAAAATCTGGGCTGGTCCCGTTTAAATGATTGGGCTCGTCAACTATACACCGGCCGTGTGGATATCGAATTCTGGAAGGTTGATAGAAATTGATAAGACATCCATAAATTGGGACTTGTCTTTGAAGGCTGGCGACCTTTGACTAAAGAGAACTATATAACTACAAATGTTTTGAGATACACTTTCAAAAACAAGAAATTTGTGAAAAGTTTCAAAAATCAGGTGATCACATTTGATAACAATTTTGTGACTTAAAAATTAATTAAACAGTCAATGTCACAATAAAACATACAATCTATGATTACAATCACGTACTAATAAATTGCATGAGGTCACAGTCACAATGACACATTGTGGGTTACAATTAAAAATTTAGCAGCAAATCATACATTTGTTTATGTTACATATTATTTATTGATCACAAATTACTTATTTATTGGTTACAATTATTCAAAATAATTGGTCACGAATGCTCATAATCCAATCTCACCCAATTCCACCACCATCGACGCTGCCACCTCATACCACTGCCACCACTTGCATCTATAATCACCATTCCAATATTCTAAAATGCGCGCATATGATTTGCATATACTCGCATAGACTGATGTGTTTTTCAAAACGATTCGCATATGAGTTATGCGTGTGATAATGCAACCAACCCATTTCATTGACCGCATTTGCACTCTTAAACACCAAAAATATGCACGCATTGTTTAAAAGGGTCAAAACTATGCAAATTGAGCCCAACAAATATCAAATTAATCCAAATCATCCAAGCATGTGAATTATATATATAACAATTTATATGATTTTGACATTTAAAAATTCAAAAATCAAAAAAAGTTTTTTCATAGAGTTACAAACTATCTACGCCTAGCCCAAACCTCCTTATTCCGCGTCAAGTTACGCTAGTAATGAACAATATTGGATTGTTGATAGTTGTGATAATGAGAATGTGGTTAATAATGATATCTTATCATTACAAAAAATAACATAAATTATCAAGTTAAAATAAGGGAGTATGATGAAGATAATTATAATGATTTTACATAGGACGACTTCGAAGATGACTTATATGAAGAGAAGTTTGAATTGGATTACGATAAAAAGTTAGACAATATTTAGGATGCATTTGATTGTGAGTATGAAATTTTATAGAGAGAAAATAAATTCTAGGTAATTGAATTGCTTCTACCTTATTTGTATGTAAATTATTAATTAAATGTGTTTGCTTGATTTAGTTTTCAATTTAGAAAATATTATACTTGTTTATTTTTTATTGGTGGGTAGATGAGAGAGAAGATAAATATGTGTGTGTGTGTGTAAGAGAGAGAAAGACAGAAAGTTTACCTGAAAAATAAAAACCACTTCTTTCTAAAGAAAATATTTTCTTTGTTTTCAAGGAAAATATGATCATGTGACCAAAAGTAGAAAAATATTTTTCACATGAAAAAAATTGTCAATCAAATAGTACAAAAGGAGCAAATTAGATGGGAAAAAAACATATTTTTTTATGGAAAATATAGGCAATCTAATGCACCCTTAAAGTTTTTTAAGCCGACGTTGTTGTCAAATCTAATTGTAGAAATTGATTATCAAGTAATTGTAGTATTTATGATTTCGAATATTATTTTTTTGTTAAAAATTTGAAAAATATGTATGTAGTTCAAGTAATTATACTATTTATGATTTTGTGAAATTTTTTTTTTTTTAATTTGAAGAATATGCATAAAGTTTAAAGATTGCATTATTGTATTTATTTATTAGCTTATAATATTAAAAATAATATTAAAAATTAAAAAATTCATAATTACGCATATACTTCATACAAACACATGTTCTTGTAATGTTTGATGCTTGATCGAAACACATTGTCATGCATTACTCATTTTAGAACCCTGCCACCACCTCCTCTCCACCTCCACCTCCATCAACATCACCCCATCACGAATACATGCACAACTAGAGATGCAGTAGCACCACCACCACCACTTCCTCCTCAAAACCACTATCACCTCCACCTCCACCTCATCTAGAACCATTGACGATCGGCAAATTTGTAGCCATACTACGATAGCTACCTCGAATCTCGAACTAACCACCAGATTTGTAGTCTCTGCTACCATTACTGTTGCTGCCAACGTCTATTCTGCTTTCCATACTTCATTTCCATCTACAATCACCACACATCGACTTCAATGGCGATGACGACGGAGAGGAATAGAGTTGTGGTAGTAGGGATGACCAAAAAACTCGACCCTATACCTGTGTAGCCCCACCCCGAATGGGGCAGTGATTACTCGCCTAACTAGGTAAACGGGACGGGGATGAGGCGGAGGTCATTGCCCTAAAGGGGTATGGGGCAGATAAAAGAAACATAGTCCCCGCCCTGTAAAGTTAATTTCAAATTTAAATTTTTTATCAAACTAAAATACTAGAGTTATCATCATTTCTAAATAGAATATAAGTTGTTTTTAACAAATTGAAAAAAAAGTAATAATATTTACAAATTAAAAATATAAAAAAATAAAAGCAAAACATAAAATAACTAAAAAATAAAAAGAAAAAAAATACATGGGGCAATAAATGAGGCAGGAGACCCACACTGAACTCGCCAAGTCTCGCTTTAATTGGGCATGGAAATGGTGTAAGGTAACAAAATACTCGACTGGACGGGGGTGTGAATGGCGGACCCATTCCATACCCACCTCGTTGCCATCCTTAGTGGTAGGGAGACACGTGATACTGACAAGGCCTTGGCTGCATGTAGATTCAGAAAAGGTGTTGAAGGCTCACTGAATAATCGAGAGCGTTCAAAGGGAAAAAGGCTGCAATATGGAGTGAAGTGTCCTAGGACCGTGCCTTCCAACATTGGTTTTTCGACGATCATTACCGTGACTGAAGTTTGGATTTACGTGTAACTAGATAGATCTCGGTATGGCGATGGCGGTGGTCAACCGCAGATCCAACACTGGCTGCAAATCCTGAGAGGAAGGTAGCAGTGCCAGAGAGGAAAGTGGCGATCGGCATTCATGGGGTGTGGGTTGTGGAAGTGGTTGTTCATTGTGGAAGGTTTGTGCTTGAGATGATCCAGCATGTTAAAAAACAAATCAAAATCAGCCAGCTCGAGATGGACTAATTCACATATTGTTTCACCGTAATAGTAAGGCCCATATTATACTTGATAGTCTAGACCATCGACATGTGAAGACCAATCCAGTTGGTCTGTAAAAGATTTAAGGTACTAAAAGAAGAGTTAAAATCTGCTATCTTCATCTTCTTGTTCCCTCGATTGACTCGTCAAACAAATTTTGACACATCAATATAATTTTCAAGTGGCAAAATTTGAGTAGAACACAATTCAGCCTTAAAGAAACATTTATAAAAAAAAACTAAATTGAACTCAAAATTTGATTGGCTAGACAGTGAAGGGGACATAAAGATGAGGACAACACATCTGTACTCCTAAAAGGATAGAGTAATTGATTGGAAGTTTACACAATAATAAAAGGAGCTATATTGAAGTCAAGTCTTCACACAGAAATTGAAGCCCAGTAACCAAATTGTAGATATAAATTACAGACACAATTACAGAGATAATAGCCAGTAAACACCTGACAAATCCAGCAAATGAATTTGTCCAAGTTTAGGCTGTCTTATTATATATATTATGTTTACTACACACAACATCATCCAGGATCCATGGCTACTTTGAAGGGCTTAAACCAAATTCTGTCATCAACAGTTGCATGGGTCACATGTGCAGTTTGATCCACACTTGCAGCCATGGCCTCCTTCTGCACTGAAGCTTTTCTCAGATCCCTCGGAGTACCTGCAACGGTCCGTAAAATTAAGAAATGAAAATATACGTCAACGAGTGGAAGTAACTCTAGTTGAATGAGGTTATGGAGACTAAAAAGGCTCTTGATGCACAAAAAAGTGAAAAACTCGATGAATACCATTAATGAATTCAGTTGATTCTAATAAGCACTTACATCTTCGTTGGTGCGATCCCTTCGATGATGGTAACTGTCGTGCTCTTCTCAACGTCTGGATACATTTTGCCGCAACTTCCATTACAAAAAGAATAACTTATGAGTAAATTAACGTAAAATCCTTTATATAGTAGGAATATTAAGTCGAAAGTATGTTTACCTGCAGTTGCTTCCGCAGGAGCAGCTTGAGCCACAGTTACAGCCTGATGACATATTCTTGAGAGATGGAAAAAAGAATTAAAGGGGGAGATTGTTTCAATTGAAATGAATTCTTTGCAGTGCTCTCAAGTTGGTGTTTCTTGATAGACTTTGTTGGCTTCTATTTATAAAGTAGCGCGGTTATGACGTGTTTGGCATAGATGATTCGATACAATTAAGAAAAAAATTAAGTTATTTGTTCCTTGATTATATGTATTTGATTTTAACAAATATAAAATAGATTAAATGGATGATTCCTTGAATATTTAATTGTTAAGGTCGTCGTTGGACAAGGTCATCAAGAAAAGTCTCAACAAAAGTCCTCGGTCTATTGTTGTTATATCACAAAACGTTCAACCTTTTAATTTTTAAAAATTAAGCCCTTGTTTGTGCCCTATTATCTAAAAACTTATTTTTTTTCTCAAATGCATTTTCAACTACACATCCTCTCGATAAAATAATTTTGCAAGTAAATTTAAATATATTTTTCTACTTTTTAACCGCTTATTTTTTCAAAAATCACTATTACAAAACTTATTTTTTCACAAAATGTGGTATTCAAACAGAGCCTAAGTTATCAACATTTATTATTTTTGTAGAAGCTTGGTCCTATCGGTCCTAATGGGACTCAAACGGAGCCTAAGTTATCAACATTTATTATTTTTGTAAAAGCTTCGTCCTAGTGGATAGAATCCATCGACAATTTTAATATTCGATGAGATAAAAACCTCCAAAGTCGACTTCAACTTCTGCATCAACTTGATCTCTTACTACGCACTCTCCACCTCCAGATGAGCACCTCGTGCCTTAGGGCGAAAAAGCTCACCCAAGTTAGCCCGTGGTGAATTGTTAGGATCAATGTCAAAAACTAAAGATTGAAGATTTATTTATACAACAATGAATAGGTTGGAGACGTTTACAGCAATTTTCTTGTTTTAATTATTAGAAAAAGGAGAAGGTGTGAACCTTAATTCTCCAAATATTTTGACATTAATTCCCTGTCAAAGGCACTTTCATGAGCATATATAATAAACATTATCTTCTTATCTATCCTCCAAAATGGTTTGAAATTATCGAAGCCAATTCTTTCAACTAAGTGGATTCGGCTATCTTTGTTTGCTTGTCGAACGGAAATCTAAATATAAATTATGAACGACAAGATTGTCCACCTGGATAATTAATAAATTTTGACGAAGTGATTTGGGTGAAATAAAATTAGAAACTCAATGGCGCCTGTGATTGTGACAAAATAAAGTATAGAGTTGATAACACGCTAACTTCTTTTTTTTCCCTTAATAAATATATTATTTGAAGGTATCATTCCACTTGCAATATATTGAAATTATAAACAAAATGATTATACTAACATATGATATAGTACATTTCGATTAGTTCCTCGATGAAATCTACTCTAAATACATGATCGTTGTCAAGAAATAAATACAATCTTCAAATCATCTATTATGTCAATTTATTTGTTTGCTGAGTTAATAAACTTGCATGATGTGACTCAATTGAAATAAAATAATGAATTTAATGATTCAATCATGACAAAATGAAGTATAAATTTGATGCTAAAAGTTTGCACGTTACTGTACTTCGAATAAATTAAGATAAAATAAAAATAAAAAACTGATTAATTTTAAATTTGTTTGTGGATAAAACCGAGTGTCGATTTTTTGGCTGATTATCAATGACACCCACTTTGCTGCCTAGATTCATTAGCACCATTTTTTCAAAAATTACAAATTAAAGATTATAATATGAGGGCCCTTTTGTTAATGTATGTAATGAACCGTTATTAAAACATTATAAAGTTGATGATTCCGACCAAGAATTTGATCGCCAAGTCGTGCTAATTCTATACGAATCAGTAGTAAGAAACACATGTATTCTTCATAGCAAGTCTTAAATTCAGGTAACGAAAAAATGTTCCAATAAAGTGACGCTTAAGCGTAAAGCTTGATCAAATCTTATATCGAAATCCTTCTGTTTACTTCCTATGAAACCTTGATGTAAAACTTTTCAAATCTGTTTTTTAGTACTTATATGGGGAAAACTTATTTGAGGACTAGCGCGCGTATAGATTATTCAAGAATCAAGATTCATTTGTCAATTGTCATATTTTTATCAAAACTAGTGTTGTGGCCATGCAATGCATAGCTTCAATCTTGTTGAAGGTAATTTTAGTGGTAACTATCAAGGATTCATGAGAAAGATTTACGTTGAATGTGTTTTTGAGAAGCTAAGTGAGTATTTAACTTACAAAATTACCATCGACTGAAAAGAACAAATACATATTTACGAAAATTGTGATAGAAACTTCAAAAAATATAGATGTTGGAAATTTTTTCTCTACTGCAAATATTGTGAAGGAAATTAGAAAATAAACACATCAATGCCCTTTTTTAGGGACGAAATTATAGCATCTGTAAGGCAAAGAGTAAATAGGCTGCCCTTGACGAAACATGTCATAACAAGAATAGTAAGCTATAATTATTTTTACTTGCTTTTTACTTTTGTTTCGTTGATAAGTTCGCCCGCTCGGTGAAGGTTAGATTGCTCTCCTGCACTCACTATTCCACCAAAAAGAACGTCCAAGAGTTTATTTACAACGACACACGAATAATGGTCAATAGAGAATTTCATGAGGTATTTGAACTATTTAAAAGGGAAAACGGTCAAAGTTGGGATCCAAGTGCCCCAACCTAGACTTCAAACTATTTATTAGAAGAAAACATCCCATTTCATGGATGAAATCCATGGCTTGATTGTGTGCTTCTGTTATGAAAATAACCATCGGATTGAGATATTGAAATTATATGATACAATAATGAAGTATGTGAATACAAGTAAAAGAATAAAAGAAGCCAAGAAATATGACAGATTAATTAAGAGATTTTATTGATTTAAGAATAATGGAGAAGAGAGAAGATTACAATTGATCCTATAATTCTAATAATTTATTTTCTCACACTATAAAATCGTATAGAAGAGCCAGTATTTATAGGGAATGTGTAGGAGACGTCCAAACCCTCTTGGTAGAGTTGTTGATGAAGTAAAATGCTAAAAAACTAAGTCTAAAACGAAGTAGGAATGAGAAACGCGAAAAAAACCCGAACAGAACGACAGCGCCTAGGTGCCGTACCCTCGGCGCCGAGGCTGGCACAAATGTGCTAGGTCTCGGCCGATTTTTTTTTTTCATATTGTTTTCTCCATCCCAAATTCTTCAAGTCCAATACAAATTATTAATTGCCAATGGGCTTCCAAAATAGAACTTCAACTTCACATATGACTCTAATAGTATTCCAAACTGAATTCTCCTTGACGTACACTTCAATTAGAATTCTTCAATACTTCAAACACTCCAACAAAGGAATTCGAGTCACACCCAAATTTCTACAATCTCCACATTGACACAAATTCCACCAAGGAATGAATTGACTTCTTCAACAATAACCCAAAAAATTAATTTCTCAAACAAAACACAATACTCCACCCCTTCCAATGAATCAAAGCACTACTCTTGTAAAATTATCTTAAATTCTCAAAAAATCATAATGATTTTATAATTTACCAAACTGGATTGTACTGCACCCTAAAACAGAATCAGACACAAATGCTTTTAAAGAAAGCCCCTTGCTAGATTGTAAACATTCTACTACGTTGAAAGCATGCTCAACAAAATCAGCATCTACATACATTTTTTCACTAGGTCCATCCCTTGAATACAATGACAACATAGGTGATGGTGGTAAAACGACATTATCCATATTTTCTGAACTCAACTGAGCAGTATTCTTCAAATCCAACACTTTATGAGATCATAAAGGTATTGTACCAAACTGAATGTCCATCACAGTACTGAATCTATGCTGATTGACTCTTCTAGATTCTTCACGACCCTAATAAGCACATTTACAATATACAATCCTGTGATGTTTGG